GCTTACGAAATTGAGAGGAAGAAAAGCGAGTTGGTGAACACGGACAGTTCACGTAGGGTAGTTGGAAAACCCTCATTCCAAACCAATGGTGCACATGGGTTCCAGTATCCTGAAGGAACAAATGGTGTATGAACCAATCGTTGGTCACCGGCTACCATGGGACTGCATCTCCTTACGATGCTCCACTGCCTTGTGGATCAGACCTTCAGGTTGAAGGCTCAGGGTGTGGCCCCCCAAGAACACCACCTGCTTCGGTTTGGGCACCCGGGCAGTATCACAGCCCTCACACAAACCAAATGAGATCTGTGTGGCGCGTATGTATCTGATGCCTCCTTGTACCAATATCTATGTGTTAAAATAAATAAATAATAATAACTTAATCTTTGACTAAACATTTGATCTGATTTGTAATTAAAACATTTTATAATGTACATCACGAACTGATCTTAGCTAGATGATCATTTTAAACTAAAGGACACTAGATAACTCTATTGTCCTAGTATTGGACTTCTCAATAGTGCAAATCTTCGATCCTACCAGGAGTCGAGCCCAGAATTTTAAGATCTCGAGGCGAGCACTTAACTTCTGACCCTATGGTTTTCAAACTTAATCAATTCGTAATATTCAGAAATGATCTTCCAATGTCATTGGTGTGGTATTGCTTTATATCCGACAAGGTTGAACTCCATTTTTACCACTCATCTTTAGAATTCTGGGAATTGCTCCTTTAAGTTAAGTACTTTTGAGCACTTAAATAGTATTGCAATTGATGGTCGTTATTTGTGTCAAACTATGTTATCTATATTTATTTTTATTATTAATCTTATAGTTTCAATTTACTCCATTTGGCATTGTGTACTACACATTTCAAGACGAACTGTTTTATTTTATTTAATAAATAATTCTGACCTCGTATGCTATGATTTTAAACGGTGTATTTGTCGTAAATTCGGTTATCTTTTTTTGGATTGCTAATTATCAGTGTAGAACCTGATGGGGATTCATTCATGTATTTGTGTTTTCCGGAAAACTCCTGAATATTCTCTAACCTTCTTACCCGATTGGTAGTATTATGTTCGTTTCGCATTATTTAATTCTGCTTAAAATTATCGCTACGGAACATTCAATCATTGTCTAAAGTATTCTAGTGATCACGACGTAAATATAAGCTCTTATTCTTATATTTTTTCTCACAGGAATGTTGTGGAAAAGCGAGTTATATTAGATATGCAAGGTCATATTGATCTAACTCGGCTTAATATTACAATTATCTGTTTACTTAAAAGTTTATCAATCTATATTGTATACAGACGTTTTTTTATTTGTCGATGGACTCACATGATATATGTGTTAAATTGTATGAGATAACGAAATTCTATATTTATATGTATCTCGCGTAAACTGATTCCATTTTATCTGCTTGCAAGTAGTATATTGGGAATTTCATTGTTAGAGATTTACAAAGTTTATTTTCATTTTTGTATGGTTTATTTCACGAACTGACTACAGATGAACGACTAACGAAAATTAGAGAGCACCAAATTATTGTTTTATCCTAGTATTGATATTTCTCAGCAGTACCCACATTAAACTCCACCAATTATCCAATCAAAGACTTTCAGTCAGTAGGTAGCATATGAAAGAAGTTTCAAATCTTGACTAGTTCCTTTACTCTAAAAAAAGTATGATATTAATTCATATTTCTTCGAGATTTATACATCAGTTGTTTCTTCTATGTGTTTCTTCATTCCATTGTATCATGAAAAAAAATGCATCCACTTGGAAATTCTCGGTGCACTCCTGATGTACTACAAGAAATGCACTTTGTAAAATTAGCTCCAATCATACATTTTTAACTAATCACCTATTTCAAAGAAGCAATTTTTTTTTAGTTATTAACTCATTGGAATATAAAGTGCACATATACACATATTTATAAAGAATTTTCATTAACAATAGTTCAAGGAAATAACAATTTAAGTAATTCTTTCAGCAAGCATATTAATATATGTAAACACGACATTTCTTTTTATTCAATTCCGGATTTGCATAGTTTCTATCACTTACTGTTCTTAGCTAGACAACCATTAACGATCAGTAAGCACTGAACAGCTGTTTCCTCCTAGTTTATAAACAATAAAGAATTCAAATGTAGATAACAATAAACGGATTATCCTACTATATTTAAAAGACATATCATAAATTACAATGAGATTATTGAGCTCTTTTTGAAATAGATATAGCTCATAAATCAATAAAATCACTTCCATCATTTTTATACAAACCAAACGATGAAATGACAACTGAAGAAAAGTCAAACATCATCTACAAAATAAACTGTTCTACTTGTAAAAGGTATTATATCGGATAAGGTGGGTTCCCTCTTCATTTTGGTCTGCATGAACATGCCTCTGAGATGGCATCCATGAAATACCCAATGTTAATTCGTGGCCGTACACTTAAGTAGTCTTTTCGTTCATTGTTTAAAGTAACCCTGCAAGTCGTCAAAAGTCACATAATTTAGCTGCCTCATCGTTTAACTTCTTATTGTCTCTATTTAATCTCATATTCAGTTCATTAGCAATTATTCGGACAATGACTCGACTATCAAGAAATATTACTATTATTAGCCTTATTGAATATTATATTTTGGGTATAATATAGAATTCTCAGCCCAAAGTATTTCAACAAGTTTCCGTTTCTTATTCCTTGATCGATGCTGACGATAAATATTGAGTGGTCGCCAGTTGGATGTTGGTAGCTCAGGAATCGGCATCTGAATCATGTACATTCTTTTCGATGCGTATTTCCACCCACCTTAATGTTACTGATTGTGCATTTTTATAGCTTGGACAGTGAAAAGTCATAATTTTTTCATAAACACACCTGAATAGGTTATGCGATTAATAGACATACTGATGTGTCAAAACAAACATAAAACCAGATAACATATTAAAATATCTAGAGGGCAGGAACAGGTCGCCTTGTATTCCAGTTAGTACATGAGGCCACACATATTTTACGTTTTCGTTAACACAGGATGTCGATGGTATTGACAAATTTATGTCATACACGGAGTTTTGGTGGTATTCACTAAACGGTTAACCCCGTTAAGAAAGAGTATTTCCTTCGTTACGTTATCTCCAGAAAAAAACTTACACAGTTAATAAATTTCCCACTATTTTCCCCTAAGTCTCACCAGATTTCTTTAATGTTCCTATTCGATCTGTTCACCAGTTTGCATATCTATTTGACAACCTATTTGCTGCTACTTGATTACCAAAATAATAGTAGACACAAGTGACGTTCGAACTTTCAACACCAGTTGCTAAAAGTCGACTATTTAGTTCACTAAACAATAACACTTCATGTAATTACTGACCAATCGAAGCTTATCACTTCGCCCTATACATAGAAAAAGAATACCTCAATGTTGCTCAGGTAAAAATTTGTGCATTATTGAAATTCCTCTGAAATACTCAATTTATGGTTGATATCAAATTAAAAGACTAGTATTTGAACGAAGAATATTCTTTTCGATAAACTCTCATCAGGTTCTACAGTTATATATCCAAATTAATAATCCGAAAAAAATTGGCCAGGTTAAGGGCAAAATACATCGTTTAGAGCATGTGAATTTAGGATTGTGATAAACAAAATACAATAAAATTGTTAATGTTAATATGACTCATATAGAATGTAAACTTGAATGAGCTTGTATGTTAAGTAAAATTTTAAGATCCATGATCAGAATAAATATGGGTCAAATAGGGTGAGAGAGAAATAATAGTGCAATTGCAATTCGATCAAATAAGTAAGACGTAAAGTGAATGAATCATGTATAGGAAAGATTAATAATGATGTTTAACCAATAATAATAATAATAATAATAATAATAATAATAATAATAATAATAATAATACAAAGATTTATGAATAAAGATAACAGGGACAATTACAATTGACTACGAAAGGTCATAGTCAAATTAGTTCATTCAATACTTAAGATTACGATTGATTAATTGGCCTTGATGTTGGCCAGGGGAGGAGGAGTGGTTGAATATATTTCCTCTGTACGCAAAACTCCGGTTTCATCCGGATGGCTATTGCTTCAGCCGTTTGAAGAACTTTCAGTCTGACCAATTTTGGCAAAAAATTACTTACCTTATAAATAATTGAAAAAGATTGGTTTATACTGGCACTATGACCGGTTTATACTAAATGGGCCAATATTGAGCTGTTCACCTTCTTCATCAAACCTTTATTTAGCCACTCTGGAAGGTGTTCACGAGCACGAAAATGTAAATTCCTAGAACTTCGACCAATATAACTCGCTCCACAGGAGCAGTTGAACTGATAAATACAAAATGAGGTGGTCATTCTAGGTAATTCATCTTTTAGCTTCGGTGTAACCATTGGGCATCTCACCCTATTTGACCCATATTTATTCTGATCATGGATCTTAAAATTTTACTTAACATACAAGCTCATTCAAGTTTACATTCTATATGAGTCATATTAACATTAACAATTTTATTGTATTTTGTTTATCACAATCCTAAATTCACATGCTCTAAACAATGTACTTTGCCCTTAACCTGGCCATTTTTCGGATTATTCATTTGGATATGAGATAATTGTAGAACCTGAAGAGAATTTATCGAAAAGAATATTCTTCGTTCAAATACTAGTCTTTTAATATGACGGGGATCTTTAAACGATTGATATCAAATTACATTTTTGATGATACTATACAGTTCAATTCCTGATGGGGTCATGAATTTCTTTCGCTGAGAAATCCCTTGCTGGGATGAAACTGTTTTTCAGTGCTTCCTGGTTTTTAACGGTTCTCCAACTATAATCAGTCTATGATGTAAACTATAAAATTTGACAATCTCCATAAACTCACTATACTAATTAATATTATCATATTCCTACTTCATTAGAGCCATATTCAGTTCTTTTTATCGAAAATTCATTGTTTTGTTTTTATATGTACAGATTACGCATCCAAGCTGTGAATAAATTTGGTCCAAGTGAATATTCAGCCAATATTGAATTTACTACACTTGCCCCATTGCCTAAAGCTCCAGTTTTTAGTCATTATACAAATTTAACGTCAAATAGTGTTCGATTAGAATGGAATATGTTAATCAATGAGATGCTCAATTCTGATACCGATGATATGGATAATGTTGATGGTGACGCTGACACCATTGGTGACGATACTTCGAGTGATAATTGCATCAACGATGAGAGAGAAGAAAAGATTCATAGTGACGAGGCAAAGGAAGTAAATAATGAAAATGGCACTAATATCAAGTCAAACTCTTCTTCTCGTTTATCGAATCCACTCCATCACCACCGCCACCAACAACAACAGCGAGAAAGGATAAAAACACAGAAATTAGACTTGAAATCGCATGAAAGCCAATTAATATTTACATTACAAATGAGCAGAGAATCTGATCTAGAGTATGTTTTAGAAAATATGTTTTTAAGAAATAGTTTATTGATTTAAAATTGATATGTTTAACAAATAATTAATCTTTTCTTCTCTGATACATGTATTATCTTAGATTATGCTGCTATAATTTTTCTCAATGTACTTTTATTCGCATAAATTTTCCTGTTTTAGATTTGTTTTAAATAACTAGTTTTGTCTATCAACTGAGTGTTAGAATATCTCTCCAAGTTTCAGCTCCGTAAATTAGAACCTGTCCATTGTATTCCGAGCTTTCCATCAGATGTGATAGTGCTTCTGTGTTTCGGCTGGTATGTCATCAGATTCTACTGCTTTCCCACTCTTGATTTGTCTGATAGCCATCCTGACTTCTTTTATCGTTAGTGGAGTGTCATCTATAGGAAGGTCTGTAGGTGTTGCTTCGATATCCAATGGATTCAATGGAGCTGGCCTATTTAACAGTTCTTCAAAGTGTTCTTCCCACCTGTTCCACTGTTATCGAATCTCGGTGGTTGGCTTGCCTTCTTTGCCCTTAACTGGTCGTTCTGGTTTATTGTTTTTCCCTGCTAGTTCTTCGTTGTGTCATATAGTTTTCTCATATTTCCCTATCTTACAGCTTTTTGGGATGTCATTGCTGGGTCTTTCATGAATTGCGGCCTGTCAACTCTAATGCCCTTTTTCACTTGTTTGTTTGCTTCTGTGTATTCAGTGTTTGCCTTGATATTCTCTATTCTTGTTCGGCTGTTGTTAATTGCTGCCTTTTTGTTCTTCCTTTCTTGAATCTTGACCAAGGTTTCCATAGAGATCCATTCCTTATGACGATGCTTCTTGAGGCCCAGCACCTCCTGACACGTTGAAATTAGTGCTTCCTTGATCTCGTTCTAATTGTCCTACATAGTAGTTTCTTCATCCTTCAGTAGTTTTTGTAAGGCTTGAAACCTGTTATTGAGAGCTATCTTGAATTCGTTTTGTTTGTCAGTATTTCGAAGGAAGTAGGTATTGAACCTTTGTAATGCTGTTTCTCCAGTTGTGCAATGCTGCTTCAGGTTCAATTTCACTTTGGCAACCACCAATTGGTGGTGATCTGAAGCTATGTCAGCTCCTCTTCTTGTTCTCACGTCTTTAATTGACCTTTTGGACTTTTTAGCGATACAAATATGATCTATCTGGTTCTTTGTGGTGTGATCCAGTGAGACCCATGCAGCTTTGTGTATACGTTTGTGTTGAAATATTGTGCCGCCTATGAGCAATTTGTTGAATGCACATAGGTTTGCAAATCTCTCCCCATTTTCGTTTCTCTCTCCCAGTCCTTGTCATTCCATGATATCTTCATAATCGTTGTTGTCTATTCCGACTTTGGCATTTAGATCTCCCATTAGAATGGTGAGGTCCTTTCTTGGGCACTTAACTATGATCGATTGCAGCCGCTCGTAGAATTGATCTTTGTCGTCGTCGTTGCTATCATTGGTAGATGCATAACATTGGGTAACATTCATCATGATTCCGTTCTTTGTTTTGAAGGATGTTTTGATGATCCTGGATCCATGATATTCCCATCCTATATGGGCTTTCCGTGCTTGTTTGGACAGCATCAGAGCAACTCCCTGAGTGTGTGGATCATTTTCTTCTTCATGGTTTTCACCATGAGGCGTCAGAATTGTTCCATATGGAGATCTTTCAACACAGAGGGCAGAGTTTAAATGGTTTAAATTTTTTATTTTAGTTACCGCTTTTATACCAACCTTCTTCATCTATTCGAGTTTGTGACTGTCAGTAATAATAGAAGAGCTACAGGTAGAGTTTCTATCTTAGTAGTAATGAAATAATTGAAATTTTTCATAAACATTATTCCTTTATTTACTGTTTCTCATAACTTCTTCCATCTCTCGTTTTACTCTTCTAATGTTTTCATTTGCTTGCTTCAACTTTTTCTCTTATATCTTGTGGTAAATATTTATGAATTGGTGTGTGTGTGTGTGTGTATACGTATAACTGAACAAAACCTGGTATCCCAATATTTCGCGTTGCAAGGAAGAGAGCTAAGACGATGGATGAGTATTAATTTGATACCGAGAATAGATCAAAAATGTACCGATCTGTAGTCAGATTTTGAGTAAATGAAACTAATATACTGAGTTATGCAATTACTCTTTTCTTTTGGTCGAATTCATATGACTGCCTCTTCTATTCTGTATCAATTTGATAAACGATTGTCCTTCTTCATAACAATTGTACAATGAAATTTGTTTCTTGCTATTATACACACCACATTCAACTTAATGGACTCGTTCAAACGATTCACATCTATCTATCTGTCCGTCGGATACCTTTTCTTTTTGACCTAGAAACTTGCATAAACATTTTGATGATGCTTACTAATCGTTTTTTCCCTCTTAGTGGAGAATAAATATAGCTTTACTTTATCTCCCCCCCCAACTGTTTATACTTTATTTCTACTGTTTTGTTATCTTTCTTTTCTTTTCTTTTATACATCAATTACAATTGTGATCATTTAGGTTACTGATTATGATGATGGTAATGATAATGATGATTGCCAGCAGTTGGCAACTTTGGTAACTATGTTATTTCTGAAAAGTTATTCACTAACATTTACATATACATACATATACATTTATATATATTTATATCATACTTTCTGAACATCACTTAAAAAGTCATCAATACACACCAAAAACAAACATTTTGATAGCAATTTGGTTAAACATGAGTGTGTTAACTTCAACCAGTTGATTAATTCAGCTAAATTAAGCTGACTAATCTCATCAGGTTTAAGATTTCGTTTTTGTTCGTTATGTCTTCCTTTCACCAATATGTCATAAAAAATACAGGTTAATTCATATCATCATTGAAAGATACGCAGGATTGTATTCTCCTGTCTGTTTTTTTTGTTGTTTTATTCGACTAAATCAATTAATCACAATGCATTATTTTTGTTCTAAGTGGCTCTTTTACATCGCATTTAAATAAAAAATTTCAAAATGTAATGATGAAGTACCTACACAACGGTTAATTGTTCTCTTTTCAAATACTTTTCGTTAATAAGCTAGTCGTTTACGCCAGACAAATATGACGTTAATAACTAATCAAAGGTCACTCATTGTCAATATCTTAGTTTTATATAAGACAATTGATTTAGTTGAAATCATGACTCGATCACCATTGAAAACCTGGAAGCTCGGGGGTGCAGAGGTCAAGTGTTCGCGCACGATACCGAAGGTCTTGAGTTAGATTCCCACGTGCGGGGTCGCTGATGCGCACTGATGAGAGGTCTCATGTTACGATGAAACGGCTGTCCAGCGCTTTCAGGTTTTCAAAGATTATGTGACTTAAATCAGTCCATGATTTCAGTGAAATTGAACAGTCTTCAAAACCCCTTTCTGACAATAACCGATTTCAACAGGAACGCCTCAATGATAGTGTCAATGACTGTGATACTAGGTGATATGGATTTAAATGTCATGTGGTGCAAAATTTTTCTAAAGATTACAAATACGCCTCATTGAGTAATAACAGTAAAGATTAGGCGCCGAAGACACGAAAATATGAATCAGTGAAATAATAAAATAGTTTTGAGGAATTCGGAAAGTGAGGATCTAATAAAGAACAAACAGTGAATGCACCTGCGCCATTGCAGACGATTTTGGGTCATGTCAACCAAAGTCTAACGATTGGTTAAGATAATCACCCTGACCCCAACTAGGTGGTCTGCACCTACATACGTAGCTTAGTCCGAGTCAGTTCTTTGGCCTCCCCCTACCTTTCTCCCAAATTACTCCTACACCAACCACCGTCGCGTGTCGAGGTAGGTGGTGAACGAGTATGCTTTCTAAATGTACTAACCATCTCAGTTGCTAAAGATTCACTACTTCGTCAATTGTTTTTCCATACCTACCTAGTACTCTGCGTCTAGCCTCAGAATTACTAACCCGATGGTCCCAAATATACGGGCACTCCCTCGAAGACATCTGCGATCGAACACTAGTAGCCTATAAATATCCTGTATTCTTAAAAGCCAAGTTTCTTACGTATAAAGTAGAACGGAGCGAATCGCTGCTCAATAAACTCGTCCTTTAGTTGGAAACCAGATATCTCACCCACGTCACAAGTGAAGTGAGTTGGCAAAGCCAACTGGGCTCTCTGATTTCGTACTTAAATCATCTCAGATACAAATCCACCAGAGCTGATGAGAGTTCTAAGAAAAAATGGCGTTATTGACACGCTCACCTACCTCACTCCCTTTTAATAATTCAAGTGTTGACGTAGGCCATCCCTACAGCAACATTTTGCATTTAGAGGGGGAGAAACACGTCCCTAATATACAAGCATTGTTGCTTAAGGCGATCAGAAGACTTTATTTTGTCAACATCACCAAACAGAACTGTGTCATCTACGTATTCTAAGTAGCTACACTACTGTGCTTTTACCATAAGTTATTAATCAGTAAAAATTTAAATGTTGTCTTTTTTGTTTCATTTCATTTAACAGTTGGACGACAATATATGAAGGACAATCAAATATGCATAAAGTGAATCGTTTATCTGAATTTACAATTTATCATTTTCGTGTTTGTGCTATGAATACAACAGGTTGTGGATTGTATAGTGACGTTCAAACAATTCGTACTCAGAAAGCATCACCACCAGCTGTGCGAGGTAAGGTTGAACAGAATATTAGGTGCGTAATTTTATGTAGTAATAGAGAAAAAAGAAATACAATAATAATATTGTATGCTCATATCGATTAAATTTGCAGAGGAAGCTTAAGCAACTACCAGATTTGAATCATAGACATCGTGATAATCAGAAGGAAATACCACACAAACTGTTGTCGATAAGTAATGGTTTAAGATTTTTTTGTTTTTAATATTAAAAACTATGTTTGATCAGTCTTTGATTGGGATATAAGTTTTTTGAGCTGATGCTTTGATATTGTTTGTAATTATAATGGTACTATGCTTTTTGATAGTGGCTAACACTCCAGCATAATTATATTCATCTCTCCAATCTCATATAAAATGGAACACATGTCCCAGAATTCACCGCTAGCCTCTACATACAATACGTCCAATTTCTAACTTAAAAATAGTGTCAGAATGTATCTGCTCAAGGAGCCCACATATAAATAAAGACAGTTAACATTACTGTGTAGGTATCAAGACTCAGTAGCCTAGTACATCAAGTGTTAATTCTCACAAATAAAACTCACTAGTTTGATTGATATATAATTCACCTCAAATGATGATGTAGTACATAATTTACATTCAAAAAAAAAAGAAATGATAATTCTATGTTTACATCACCAAGATGTGTTAACTAGTAGTGCTAACTAGTTTAAGATGTGATGATAGGAAGCGAATGATTTAGAAATTAGTCGAGTTAAAAGTTTTCCTTACTCTAGAGTCGGATTAATAATCCTACATCCTCGGCATAATCCCACTGACAATATATTCTGTTTCTGGATCAAACATTCATTACAAACTATTAAATTTTTTTTCTCTGTAAATTAAGGTTGTTTAAGGGTGTATTTAAAGTATAGTATTTCTCTAGAATATTAACTGTTCACAGTCACAAGCTATGCTCTTGCTTCTAGTATTCCGCATTCAAATTGAATATAAACGTCTCAGGAGGTGGGTAGCAAACATGTTTGTCGTCGATCCGTGTATTATTAGTACAAATCCGTTTTCTACTATCTCATTCAAACCACTTGGCCATATCAACGTGTTAATCACTATTTAATTGATCTATTATTATTTACCGTACACTATATACTTACATCAATGGTTTATGTTGTCAAGCGTTATCGACCTTTTTAAGGTTTATCACAAACGCAAAATGAAACACTTTTGCACTTTTTCCTCCTTAAATTGTCATGTAATACTGATGTATTTCTCCACAATCCATTTATTTTGAAAAATCTATTATCTTGAAACCATTCAAAGATGGCATATACCAAGTTTATCCAATAAATACACAAACTGATGACATAAAAATTTTATGTTACCTCATTCGTGGCAATACACTTGTCCATTGTTTAAAACACACCTGCAAGTTTTCAGGAATTGCTTCCTTCAACTGTCTAGTCGTTTCACATTTGTTTATCTCCACGTCATTCCAAACTCAGCTCAATTTATTGTTCGGTGCAAAATTACAGTGTCTTCATAAAACATGAAAACCATACATTAACTGCATCATTTGCACATCGTTCATCAGTTGTCTCTCACAAAATTTATCGTTCGTTTCTTCATTCTTGTTATTGTTTTGGTTTCTTTAAGCGTCCCTCTCCTCTTCATTTCAATCTTCCTCTTGCAAACATTCCATTTCCGATTGGTGCTGTTTACTACTTATATCTATCAACGTTAGTAGCATATACCACACTAATAGTTCTATCTACTTTTTTTGTTTTATAACTGTCGAACAACATATTATTATTGTTATTATTATGAGGTTTGAATTAACTTGTGACAAAGTAATTGCAACAAATCAGTCTGTTGAAGATTCAAATATCCCAACAAAGACCTTCAAATCTGAGTCCTGAATATCAACAATGCGATAATTCAAACCCTTAGTACAAATAATATAAACATCATATCCGTTGGGGAAGTTAGTAGCTATCTGTATTGACCAACTTAGTGGGTAGCTACTTGATGTTTGAAGCGATCGTCTCTGGATTCGAGTACCCATGTAGGGTTATCAACACTGGGATCCAAGTATGTCCAGCTAAGGAGTCATGACTCGGACTGTTAGTCCCAATCGGTCTACTCAAAAAACTTATCGAATAACTTTGAAAAAAGTAATATATAGAAATTTAAGCCTGAGGTCAATCAGTTAATGAAATGTTATGAACACACTAATTATTCGTGTTCAGCTTAAGGATAAACTGTAAGATATCGATTGTTTTTAAATGAAGCGACTACTGAATGCTTAAAGTACTCGATATTTAACCAGTGGTTTTTTTGTAGGTCATAAAACCACTTCAATTAATTCACCAAGTTTAACAAGACCTCATGAAAACTATATAACTCAGAGCCCCAAGTGCATAAACCTATATTTAACAAATGAGCTACATTATTTTTACCTTGACCAATCTCTTTTTTATGTTACGCTATTCGACTTGATATTTAGGAAGATTAATGAAAATTTATAGTTCAAGAGAAAGATTTTGAAAGTGCTCTGTCATCTGAGATGGATGGTTTAATTACTTAGCTCCCTTTTAAGGGATATCTTGATGATATTGTCCTTCTTAGTGCTGATCGACTCCTATCGATCAAGTTTCAATGTGGCCACTAGTCCAAGTGACTGCACTGTGTTAATATATAAGGTGGTGGGTGGATGGATCAATAGTACTATCTCTGACTGCAGCTGAGTGACACAAGATCAAATCCGCTAGGGAGAATCATGATTTACTGGTACTTCTTGTTGACGAGTACCAAATAGTATGAAACCTAGGTCAAGCGGGATTTCCTACGGACTATCTTTAACCACCGCTTTACAGTGAACGCTTTATGATTAAACTATCAAGATTAGAGAATAAAACGTCTTGTAAAAGACTTTATGATTTTTTTAAAAATCATTTTGCTTTTTGATACAATTAATCATCAGTCACTGAAACTGTCGTTTACACTCATTTATATGCTTATGAATTTTAGGATTGAAGATTCTTGAATTAAATTCTGATCGTTGTCAATTAGAATGGACTCCGGTTAATCAGTTAGGCATGGATCCCATTATCTATTTGTTGCATTTACTTCCAGTCACAGCCAATATACAACAATCAACCAATTTAAATCAGGTAATTTTTCATTTGTTTATTTATTTGGATTACATTCTGTACCCTTAGATTACTCTTTCTCGTTTAGTTTAATTAGATTTGGTCCATTTTTCTGTTTCCGTTTTGATGAAATATAAATTTCGTCTGCATATTTCAACGTGTTTCTCCGCTTATCTTTTATATTTTTCAAAAACCAAATGTTTATGACACTGACCTTCTCTCAAGGTTCCTAAAAAAATCAAACTCTATAACTCTTACAATTAATTAGAAAGTGGAACTACTACAGTAACAGAAATCACAAAGTACTTATTTGGTTTGGAGTTTTAATAGTTTCTGTGTAGGTGTTAAAATTAACAAACTGTTCGAATTTCTCCACATATGACTCATAGCTTGTTCTGTCGACCTCGATGTTGATTGACTATTGTTAACCTGTCATTGTCCACTTCTTTATTTTGATTGTATCTCCCATTGATTTGATTCTTGGCCCAATATTCGTCTGTATTTTCTGATCGGTTGATAGATTAGATCGATTTCAATGTTTGTTGATTGCCGATTGACCTGAATGCCAAACTTCAAAAAGTTCTCTCGTGTTTTAAGGATTCCCTCCATCCAAGATCTCAATATTTTCTGAGTCGGATGTATGTCCACATGCATTGTATAAGTGAGGATATTTCATAGTGTTTGACTGCTAATTGATGTTCATGAGGATGGAGATAAAGGGGGCGTCCATTTTATCCGATGTAGTGTTTTTCGCAGTTGGAACAATTTATTTTGTAGATGATACTCAGTTTTTCTTCCGTCATTCCGTCCTTCAGTTTGCATACGATTGGTTGAAGTGATTTCGCCGGTTTGTGTGCTACACCTATTCCAAACGTCTTCAATAATCTGATTGTAATTTCTGACGTTTTTTATATATGGTAGGATGATCCGTTTGTTGGTTGATATTTTTTGATTAAGTTGATTTGGTAGCCGTTCTTTTGAAAACTAGCCTTCAGATATTTTTCTTCATTTTTCTGCACTGCAAGTGTGTTGCGGTGTGTTCTCACCCTCTCGAATAAAGTTTGTACGCAGCTGATTATGTTAACTCTTAGGCTGTTGCTACTGTAATTGAGAAGTTGGATCTGTGTGGACTGACTTCTGATATACTTGAGTATCCAGTTTTCTTGTGTTGGTTCTGGTGATTAGTACATTTAAGAGTGATAGTTTGTTTTTTAACTCCTTTTCCATTGCAAATTTTATGTCATCGAAAATGTTGATCAAATTGTAGGTGTTTTCCAACTCGTTCTTTTTGACGATGACGAACATGTCGTCCACATGACCAATCCAAATTCTTGGCCTGATCGCTAGTAAGATCGAGGCTCCCGGTATCTCCATCACTTCTTCAATAAGTCTTGATATTGATGATCCCATCGGTGTTTCTTTCGTCCGCTCGTAGATTTTATTGTTGAATTGGAAGTTTATTGTTAAGCATAAATCGATGAGTTGTAGTAAACTTTGACTTTGAAGCTTCATGTACTTTACGAGGTTTCTGTCGTTGGTGAGAAGCAGGGATAGGGTTTCCTTTGCTAAGCTTATTTCAATTGAGGTGAATAAGGCTGTCACATCAAAGAATGTCATCAGTTCATCATTGTTAATTTGAATGTCCTTAATGTGATCCAGGAAGCGTATAGGGGATTTGATGGAGTGATTGAATGTTCCAATATTAATTAAATTCCTCTCGATAACTTGAATGTTAGAGTTCCAAGGAGTGATACAGTTGAATGTAATGGGATATTTGGTTTGTGTACTCTCGGCCTTCTGTAGAATGGGGAGTGTACTGGTTCATTGGATTTCATTCTCCATTGATCTTGTTTTGATATTTATCCTACTTTGACAAGCTTGTTTAAAGTCTTCGAAATTTGGTTCTTTAACCTGTTGACCGGATTTTTGTCTATTGGTTTCTATGCACTTTTATCCTCAAGTAGTTCCTCGGCTTTCCTGATATATTCTTCCTTGTCCATAATCACCATAGTGCGTCCTTTGCCCGCTGGAACTATGACAATATCTTCTCTAGTTCTCAGTTTCTTTAAAGCTTTTTGTTCTTGTGTAGTCAGTTGGGTGTTGTCTTTCTTCTATCGAGTTAGCAGTACTATGGTGTGCCTTATTTACTGTTGGTTTATTTCACTTATTCTAGCAGTTTTGACTGATGACTCTAGTGCGGCGAAGAATTTGAGTTTTGAGGTGTCACTTGTACTGTAGTTTAGCCTTTTTCGGAGTAGGTGTTCCTCTATATCAGAGGTTCCTTTGGCAGGCTGACCACTCAGTGGTTTGTGCTTTTTCCATGAGTGGTTATGAAATCTTGATTTTTTTTCTTTTGAGGGCTTTTCTTCTTTGTTCCCTGTGTTGTCTGATAACTCGATCGCTGTTGTCAAGATTACCAAATATTCTGATGTGAATATCCCCTCTACCCTCTTTCGGTCATCCATGACGTGTTGGTATTTCTGAATCCTGTAGTATGCATCAGTTATCATTAGGCGTACCATTTTTATTCCGCTTTTTTCATCTATTCTCCACTCCATTGGGCAGTTGGTTGGAGGTCTGTATCTTACACTTGTTAACAGAACATGCTGACGGAAATACTCGTGGAGTAAATAGAGTTGTTCGCCAATGGAAGCCTGTCTTTTGTCAAACTTCTCCCATATCCAAACAATGCGAAGCGTGTTATGTTCATATGATTTTGAGATGATGGAGATTTGTAACCCAGGTAGATGATTTAGGTGGAAATACAATCAAAATAAAGAAGTGGACAATGACAGGCTAAAGGTCAACAACAATCAATCAAGATCGAGATCAACAGACCAAGCTATGGTTCATATGTGGAGAAATTCGAACAGATCATTTCTACTTGAAGTTTGTGCTGATGTTGTTCTGAAGGACAATGAAAGCTAGAGGACCAAACCATCCAGCCACCTAAATCATCCATCTGAGCTACAAATCCTCTCCTTCATCTCAATTTACATGAACTTTATCAATTAGATTCAGGGAATTTTTCAAAGGAGCTTGTTAGCTGATGGTAATTTAGAACATTATTTAACTTCTTCGGATTTTTAAGAATATTCATTAACATCCAGTGTAGTGAACGCTACTCACAGGGATATTTGTCAGTAGTGTATAGCAGACGTAGCGTCGAATTTGCAACAGCTGTCAGGTGGGATGTAAGAGTCTTAGTGCATCTAAAGCACGACATTGATAGAACACTTGGAGACCATAGGAGAAGGTAGTTCAGATGGCAGAGCTCACCGAAAGATGGAAATTGATCATTAAATTACGCCTGTTACCCCTCGGGGAAAAGCATAAACCATGCACCAGCATTCTCCATCCAACTCTGTCCTGGGTAATCCTTTCCAGTTGCTATTCATCCTTTTCATTTTTCCTTCCAATTCTCGACGTAATATGTTCTTTGGTCTTCCTCTTTTTTTTTCCCTTCAAAATTCCAGGTGAGCACTTGCTTATTGATGAAGTTTGGTGATTTCCACAATCTATGTCCTGTCCACCTCCAACATCTTTTCCTAATTTCCTCTTCAGATAGAAGTGGGTTTATCCTCTCCCACAGTAGGCTGTTGCTCATCGTATCCGGCCAACGGACATTGAGTATCTTAAGTTGACAACTGTTTATAAATACTTGTACCATTTCGATAATTGTTGTAGTGATTGTCCAATTTTCAGCTCCGTATAGTAGAACTGTCTTGACGTTCTCATTAGAGATTCTGATTGTGATACTAGTTGACAGTTGTTTTGAGTTTCATATGTTGTTCAGCTGTAGAAATGTGACCCTCGTTCTGCTAATTTTCGCCTTTACCTCTGCTTCAGGTCCTCTTTGTTCATGGATTATGTACGTGAAATTTTCTACATCTTCCGGATTTTCTCCATCAAGTGCCACTGAGTTATTGTTCGTCGTGTTGTATTTGAAGATGTTGCTTTTTCCCTTATATATGTTAAAGCCTACTGCTGTAGGGGCTGCTGCTACACTGTTTAGCTGAACTTTGTTACTACCAGCAATAAATTCACATTCTTCCTGCTAAATGTCTCGTTTTACTCTAGTACTGTACTGTATTCATTTTGAATACTTATTTTACATTAGTTAAACCAAGATAATCTTATATTCCACTGTTCAGCTTAAAATCAATAGATAAATTATTGAGAGTTTTGCATAAGTTGACACCGTTCTATTGTAACACTTTTAATTATGATTTATAGTCTTTAGGGTATGTACATGTTTTATGTATTTGAACATGTTATTCCAATAGGTTTGTGTCTAGTTGGCATTGTGACCTGTACACTATACTTCATTATTTTTCACTTCTGTAGTGCAATTATTATACAATATAACTGTACAATTTTGTTGATCAACCTAACTGATAAACTTTAAAATGTCGAAAATGTCTAAATGCGATTACTGAAAAATCTTCCGACCCCCTAACACTAAAAAACAATTATGCACTCGATACCGAGCCATACAAACTAATGTTTACATTCTAAATTGACAGATAGAATTCGATCGGCATTAAGAACTGGATAAAAATGACAGTCAGCCCTCAGTGGTTTATTTATATAAATACAACAACATTATGGGATACCAGCTGTGACTCGTATAGCTTAGTAGCAATATCTCAAACTATGAAGCTGAATGACGTGATTTTAGATTCCATGGGAAGCACCAGTTCTGTTAATACTGCAGGTACGCTCTTTCAATAAGTGTCAAATAATAAGAAACTTGGGCCTAGGATTTCTTGCTGACTACATCCAAACGCTTAACATCAAGATTCTATTATTAAGTGAAATTTTATACGAGCATGGTGAACAAGGTTTTGTAACTCGAGAGGACAATTTCAGATGAAATCGTACTCTCTGAATTTAGAGCACTGAACTTCACCGAAATCACCAACCTTAACAGATACTTTGGGAAAATCGAAGAGATTGGCCTACGCCGTTTACATTGTAAGTTGAGGGGATGTTACTACTCAGCTGTTTAAATTATTACTTAATAATTAATAAACATTTTTGTAGTTTACATCACAGTCTGCTCTTAACTAGACAACCATTGAAAACCAGGCAGCACTGAATAGCATACGACTCCTCATCAGTGCACATCTACAACCATATCATGGGTCAAATTCAATAAATTTGATCTTACTAAAAGCGTTCAACCTCCAGATCATTGACTCAACATCCAATGGTTAACACAATATCACGTAATCAAACCAGATGGCTTTGAATTACAAAGATTACCAATTAAATTATCTACGTAAAATGAGGAGATCAAAAGAATATCCTAAACAAAATGAAAATTAAAGTGGGAATTATCTAGAACCGAAGGATGCACATAGGTTTCGAAGTATTACAGTAAGTGAACTAAGCAATGCATTTTGAAAGTGAATGAAACAACAAATGTAAATAGAACAAGTAAAATAAAAAAAATATCGGTCAAGAAGATGAACAAAATCTGACATTTGTATCCTTTTAAGTGTTGCACAGGTTAGGTAATGAGTGTTTAGCTAATAATTTTTTCTGCAAAATGCAACAATCTTGCATCCTTTCTTGTATTATCTATTTTTTAAAAACATTGCCAATATAATCACGTGGTCAAGATATTGACACTTTTTAATTACCAGTTATTTGGTACGTGATCATATTAAGAATTAAAAAAGAGCTGTGTACTATACTCTTTATGAATATTATTGTGTTTCAGATTGTTATTTGTAGCCTCACTGAATTCACTCCCAAATAGTAAATGTTTTTAATTCTATGGACTCTTGCTTCAATGTTTTATTTGAAACTTCAGAGTATACATTTGGTCCTTTAGTTATTAGGGAATGGTGGTAAATCAGTTGATGAGGTTGTAAATTTTCATGGACTGAGATGGTTGGGTCACGTGTTGCGCATGCCTGAGCTCCGATTATCACGACGCGCAATGCTGACTAGTGTAGAGGATGGTTGGAAGAAAGTTAGGGGCGGTCAAACCAAAACGTGGGATCAGTCCACAAAGTCACTAACTTCTAACCTGAGCCATTTTGTTAGATGCAGACTACTTGGTTGGAGTCCACATGACTATCGTAACCATTGGTTGGAGACTCTGTGTGACATAGCTCAGAACCGGTCATGATGGCGTGGGTGTATACACTCTCTGTTTTCCCTTAAACTATGAGATTAAGATCTCTTCATATCTTTCTTTCTACGAACTAATTCTTTGTTTCCGTTATTTATTTATTTATTTTAACACATAGATATTGGTACAAGGAGGCACCAAATACATATGCGCCACACAAATCTCATTCGATATGTGTGAGGGCTGTGATACTGCCCGGGTGCCCAAACCGAAGCAGGTGGTTTTCTTAGGGGGCCACTCCCCGAGCCTTCGATCTGAAGGTCTGATCCACAAGGCAGTGGAGCATCGTGAGGAGATGCATTCCCATGGAAGCCGGTGACCAACGATTAGTTCATACGCCATTTGTTCCCTTAGGATGCTGGAGCCCATGTGCACCATTGGTTTGGAATCCGGTTAAAGCGCCAGACATTCGCTTTTCGTCCTCTCATTTTCGTAAACAACACCCCCATCACGAGAAGGCAGTGAGTAGGACTTCCCTGGCAGAGGCTATATATACGCGTGGCCATGTGAGAGCATTTGGAGTGGGAGAGCGGACTCTCCCTAGTCTCGGCCATACCAGGGCATTTGGGGGCTTTGTTTCCGTTCTATATCCTTATATGCAATTTTTCTTTTATATATTACTACCATTGACTTAACCACTTCTATGAATCCGGTGTTCATCTTGTCGTGCTAATGAGGTATGGCAATTTGGACCGATGCATATATGTGCCTGGTCCTACGTTGTAGCTGACTGACTGGTCCTTTAGTTGTTGTCTATCAATCAAACTAAATTTTCAAAAATTATAATAATAATTTGTGATACGACTTAAATGTGACAACCTTTTTGTTATCAGATCATTGCTTTCAACTGTGATATAAAAGACTTCACATATCAGATAATATTTGGCGGTAGTCATTTTAAAAATAAAATTATACAGTAGTATACTCAAATTATCACATTTTACATGAGAACAACAAGAGCAAATTGCTACCGACGAGAAGCGACTGACTCAAAGTAACCAAATTAATAGTTGGAATGAATGAAATCGTGGCACAAAAAGTGTGCAGTCCAATCAAACCTCAAGATTTATGAACACGATTACCCGATTGTAATCGACTTTAAGGTATGATAACATCTAGTGTCTTCAATTGTCGTACGAATCTTGATCAGTAGGTCAAAAGCTTCTCCAGTTGCTTACGTCCAACTGTCAATACTCCTGATGATTAATCCCATACCTAAGTTCGACCGTGCTTAACCTTCCCACCTGCTCTACGAGCCAGTTTTTTCACATCAATTTGCTTGGTGATTTAAAATGCGCAACACATGTATCAACCACTTCAATCGATAAAAGTTCACTCCCATAGTTAGTTTATGCAACGATCCAGATCAGTTCCGAAACATGTGGATAAGGCGACATGTATCCCATACATTATCGCATTCTTAAATGATACTTTTCAAAGACTGCAAATGCAAATATCAATCAATTCCTCTCTCTTTATTATTTTCATTGAAATTGGGATGAGAACACATCATTTGTCCCCCAATATAATAAATTGCTGCTATTACAATCATCGACTGAATTAAGTATGCTGTTAGGATCTGTTTGTAAGCTGACTCTTGTATTTCAAAATAATTCCACTTTAATCTATTATTAAGTTCGGCAAGAATAACTTTATCTTAGAATAGACACCTCTGTTTATACATCTACTTTGTATGCTACAACAATACTATCCCGAAACTTTGAAACTAAATGCGTCGAGCCCTTGTAGTTAATTTTTTTGTCAATACTTTAGCTCTATATTTTTTAACTACAGCGTGATTTTTAAGTATTTCAGGTATTCATTTTGATCTCTGTCAAGATCATGAGTAGTTGAGTCCCAAACCAAAAGTCCATTAGCAACTGTCAGTTAATCCATAATGAGAAATATTGTAAAAAGTCCAACCAATCATTGCAATCTACCAAGTGGAAAAATTAAGACTCTCAGATGTAAAATGACATAACTCAGTGATCGTTTTACATTCAGTCATTACTTCCTCGAATTGAAAGTTTATCAATTGTACATTAACCTTTTTTTATCAATCATCAGTTTATCAACTTGTTGCTCTCATCTCATCGTGTTAGTGTGGTGTGATAACTTGGGGCAATGTATATTTTTCATAATGGTCAGCTGAAAATAATTTATTTTGTATTCAAATAAAAGATAATCATATATTACTAGTACGTCATCGTAGGTGCCTTCGAAGCATTCTTCGAATATGTTTGAACCACAAAGTAACCATTGCCCAGGTTAGACAAATAATATTAGGTAAAGATAGTAAATCGGTTGATAAGACTGTGAACCCATAACTAAAAACTGCCTACTTGAACAACGTTGGATGGACTAGGAACACCTTGGAAGAAGGCTAGAGGTGGCCGAACTAAAATGTATCATCAGTCTGTGAAATGACTGACTGTTGGTCTGAGCCATGTTCATAGGTGAAGACTACCTAGTTGGACTCTGTAAAGTTATCGTGATAATTTGATGTTTGACAACGTCTGAGAATCTTTCACAGTGCTACGGACCCATTCACTCTTTGTCTTGCATTAGCTCCTAATTTTTTAAAAATTATTTTATACCTTTTATTCTGTGAATTCGTTCATTTTTCTTGAATCCCATTCTCGATGCCTAATATTTTTACTATCTCTGATATTACTACTACTTTGGTATTCATTTTGATCATTTCGTCATCCTGTGTTGATGTTGTGCTGAGGATGCTGAATCCTCAAATACTAGATTTAAGGAGAAATCAGTTTTAAAACTTACATGTGGATTAAAGTGAAGTTTATTCATCATCGATTTTCAATGTGTTAGCGTTTTTATTAATATGTTCAGTATGAAGTTAGTTAACTGATTTCATGACAGTTTCACTGTATTCATAAATCCACTGTGATTTTTTTTTCCGAAGTGACAATTACTCGGTCTGATAAATTTTATAATTGATATTCATTAAATAATCGATATGTAATTAGATTAACTTGAGTGTACTTTAATTCTTCTGAGATCTCGCTCAATGCATCTTTCTTAAAAAGCTTCGTTTCTGGCTCATCCATGAATACTCGTTTAAGTGCTGTGCATTAGTCTTTCAGTTTTTGCAGTCCCAATAGGTCCCATTTCATATTAAAAGAATTCTCCAATCGTTCGTAATTGGAAATTTAAGGACTCAAGTCCAATTCACAACCTTTTATTTTGACAACTTGAACCGATGCATATATGTGCTAAGTTCTATGATGCTTATTACTGACTTATTCAATGAATTATAAAAATGATTGATTCATGCCAATATCGTTGTTAAAATATCTATGTCATTTCGTTATCAGTGTTATTTGTGTTATTTTCTATTTTCACTGAGATTTTTTTAAAATTCAACAGGTGTACAGAGGAAATCAAACAGCATGTCGTATAACAGGTCTAAATCCAGGCTCTGAATATGTCTGTCGAGTATGTGCTGTTCGATTGTGTCAGCCAACTGCCAAATTACCTGTTATTAATAATAATGCTACTACATTTGAACAAGAGCAATCTAAGGTAAATGCAAAAAAATAGGTTTGATTCTTTCTAATTATTATTATCATCATCATCTATTCCACACTTTTTGTCTAATTTCTTCTGGTACATTCACTTGTTTGTTTGTGAATGATAAAATACGAGACGAAAAACACTATGGTAACATATATTAACCTAATTAGCGGATAATGAATGTCCTAGGGTTTTTGAAGCGATTAGTACAAACTTTGAGTGACAGGTGTATATGCACTGATAGTCATCAGTTTTATGAGTCCAGTTTAATGATGAGCCATTTATATCAAGTTTCATTATTAGCATTCACTAACTAATATCTCAATATAGTTGATGATAATGATCACGTAAATCTTTTCGAGAAGTGCATGGTGAAAGTAATCAGTCAGTTCTGTTCAGTATACCTAAAAGAAAAGCCTCGAATACGTCGTATCAAGCAATTGAATTTTCGTCTATTTAGTAGGAAACTTTATTTCTCATCGTCACATATCAAACAACTATAAACTTTTATTAAAATATGACTGTTCCGTAGTATTAATGATATTTATTTATTTTTATATCTCAAAATTATGATGTATAGGACGATCCTAAAATAGATTCTTCTCAATATCAAATCACTGAATTGCCTGGACCATTTTCTTCTGGTCTTCTATTTACAACTCCACGTCTTACTAAAGATAACCAATTTGATTCCACATCATCGTCAGTATCATCATCACCATCAGTAACAGTATCAGCAAGTTGTCACCTATTTAAACAAAAAGATTCTCTTTCGTATAAGCGATCAAATGGTTTGTTAAAAATGTTATCATCTCCATATTATATTATTCGAAATATGATCTCACGTAATAGTAGTAATATTAGATCGACAAGTGTCCACCCAATATATGACTCATCTAATTGGACTATACTGCCAAAACAAGATCATATTCATTCAAATCAAGTGATTGCTACAGGTACTTTGCCGAACTCCCTGTTGCATAATAATAATGTATCAGATAAACGTCGTAGTATTCTACTCCATACAATGTCTTCAACAACATCATTATCAGCACAGTCAACAACAAACTCCACATCATCATCAAGAAATCAATCAAAACAACAATTATCATCACATCACAATTCGAAAAGATCTCATTCTCATTGGTTTCGTTTTACTGATACACAATTAGCTTGTTTATTACTAATTCTATTCAGTTTAGCAACATTATTAGTTGCAATGAGTTTACAATATGTCTTGAATGTACATTTGAAATTATCCAATCCTACAACAACAAGCAGCAGCAGTAGTAGTGATAGCTTTTCATCGATGGATTTATCACCATCATCATCTGAATCATATGGGATGAAATTAAAACTCAATCATGATAAGATGTATAACGATGGCAGTTCAGTGTTTACTACTACGACTACTACGTCAAAAAGAACAAATCAGAATGTTCATTCATAAGTAGTTTTGATCTTATATCTGTTGTTCATTATTCATATATATAGTCATTAGTGTGGAATCTCTCCTGACTATATAGTTAAATATTTGTAAGGTTGTTGTTGTGTGTGTATATGTAGTGACGGTGGTGTATATGCTTTCTTCTTGATGTAAAAATCACAAACCTATTCGCTGTATTGTTGAAATTCAAGTATATACATAAATGTACATATATACTTTTGTCTAAATCTTATCGTCATTTCTTGTTAATAATGGATTTATTAATCTACCTCCTATTTTTGTCTGACTTGTTAACTTGCCAATTTTATTCATGTGCATTAAAAGTTTAATTATGAAATAATGACAATGACAATGGTTATGATGGCGGTGGTAATTATAACAAATAATGACATCATTAATGTTTGTCTATTTGTTTATTTGTTATTGTCATCGATACTATATTCATAAAGATTACGTAACCATAATACTTTCATACATCCTGACTAGTTATATTACTACAACAATATAAGCAACATATGTGTATATCAAACAACTGTGTATATCAATTATTATTCTCAATCGTTGTGTTTTAGAAGCTACGGAAAAAATGTCGGATGATAGTAGACTATACATATGGAGCTTTTCATGTATTTATCTGTGCATGTAAGATTATTGTATCTGCATTTAACAGTGACCAAGTCTTATTTTCCTCTTGCATACATACAGATTGATTGGAAATGACGTACACAATAATGATATACATTCTTACACAGTCATGTACACATCATACATAGTATGTTCAAACACGCACACTTTTCCGGTTCTTTCTTTTGTCCATAATGTTGTTTTGTTGTTTGCTTCAAATTCAATTGATATCGGTGATCATAAGTATTTAAAACACATGTACATCTATGTATTCATTCATACATACTTACTCTTTGTTTCTTTTCCTATAGAAATATATATTACCTGTTCAACATATATATATATATATATATATATATATATATATATATATATATATATATATATATATATATATATATATATATACCTAATGTCTTTCTTATTTTATAATTGTATGACCCAGTTTTGTTGTTACTGTTGTTTGTTATGATCTTGTTGCCTTTTTGTTTTGTCTCTTATTTAGTCCTGTGTTCATGTTTGTTGATCAATTTTGTTCCGAAAATGAAACTTTACACACACACACACAAAGATATGACATCCCAGCATATTAACCATAATAATAATAATAACAACATTATTATTATAATAGATGTTTGCAATTGTAATTCCAATATATTAATGTTTATTCACATGACCATTTATTATAAAATTTCACTAACATCATAATAGAAATGAAATGATGAATATTTTTGTGTTCTCTAAATATGTGTATCATAATGTTTATTTTCTTTTTCATTAACTATTTAATGTTCTAATTTTCTCATAGTATGTTACTTCTATTCAATAAGTAGTCTATTCTTCTCTTTTATTTATAATGAATAATTTGAACAACTATGATTGACTTGAATAAATAATCTTCTCAATATACATCTTATTGAATATGCCTACAAATAGAATTTCATTTTTGTGATCTTATTTAATATAATATAAATCTTGTAATATTTAGTACTTGAATTATTATTGAGATGGATGAACACACTAGTAATATTGCACTTTTCTTATCACTTTTTTTGTCCATTGTAATTAACTTGCTGAACAAATTTTATGAATATCGTGTACTTCTTGATCACCTCTTATCTGTAAGTTTCCTCAATTTTCAATGATTCTTTTCGATTTTTTTTCTTGGTCAACTAACGAATATCAGTTGGATTTATTGTTCTTCAATGTGTCCTCTCCTTAGTTTATTCATCTTCGTAACCTTGTACGTTGTGTTTGTCTATCTATCTATCTGTCATGTTTTGTCTTTCCAATAAGAATTCAGCATTCTGCTTCTGTACGCGTGTCTGTCTATCTATTGATCAGCAAAGTAATTTATTATTATTATTATTATTATTATTATTATTATTATTATTATTATTCGATTCTCCATTCAGGTTTGATGGACGTGATGATTTAAAAAGTGTTATTCTTCTTGATTTTTTTTGTCTTTTATATGGATGGTTACATTCATCCATAAATTCGATAATTTTGTGTAAATCTAATGTAATTTTTCCTGTTGTGTGTGTGTATGTACGTACGTATTCGAATTTTGTTTGTTGTCATGGATTCAGTTTAATTTTACCAGGGTTTAAGGTCAACTTTGTCATGTATTTCTTTTTTTTTGTTTTTCAACCTCATGCATATAACATTTTATTCATTCATAAGCTTATTTTATATTTATCTACTTATTTATTTAACTTATCTCAATTAATTTGTTTTTGATTTATTCTTGTTTTTGGTATATATATGTTTTTCTGCTTCTGATTTGAACATTGCAAAAAAGTATATAATTTATTATTCTGAATGGAAACATGATTTGATCTTGATTTTGTTGGGATCACAACCATTGAAAACTTGAAAACACTAGAAGACTGTTTTGTCTTAATATGAGACTCCTCAGTAATGCGTATTCGTCAGCCTGAAACCGATAATCGAACCGAAGACATTCAGTCTAGCGAATGAATACCAAACTTCTAGATCACTGAGCCTTGGTCCAATGGTGTACATCTCTAACAATCAGTATGATGAAATGATTGAATGACTTCAGTTTTTCCCTCCCATTAGTATCATTTCATATATTCAGTGCTTTGGTGAATGTGTTTACCAAAAGATTCTCTGCCGTTCACTCTCGTAACACCTCTATGATATAACTGTTGTTGGTGACTACTGATACTCGATATCAGGTGACTATATACGACTTGTTAAGTACCTGAATCTACGATCAGTAGGATTAATGTGACTTAACTATTGGATAATTAAACTCTGTATTAGACTAGGCACTCAATGGGTGCACTAGATCACTACATGTATCATGTGTACACAGATGTACAAATTTCGATTAACGATCAAGAATTAGATTAGACTAGATAATGGTTTTCAAGCACAAATGGCAAGCAGTCAACATAGCAAAATCTGAGTAGCTATCGCTAGTGGAGAGAATTTGCAATATTATATAGTTTCATGTACTTAGTATATCCAATTGTGTCTACCTTCTCTTAATAATCAATCATGACTTGGTCTCACTTGATACATTACTTTAGAAGAAAACTGGCATAGCATTCGAACTTGTAGGCTTGGAACACTGGTATTAAGAATAGGCGATATTACGTACGCTACTAGTATTCAACCATAGGTGTCTTTAGAGCTTTAGTCGTGTATTCTAGGACCAGTCGATTAGGCAGCTCTGAGGTTAGGTATAGGGTACTAGGTGAATATGGCAAATGAAAATGAACTTAAATTCAATGAATATCACATTGAATTAATTAAAACAGTGGAGGTACTTTGAACTTTATCTGCATGTAAATCACCTTAAATCGATATGTTCAAATTTCAAGGTTTGTATTTAGGAATTTCATATGTTCAAATAATCATGTATATTAACTGAGTGGTCATATCTGATTATTTGACTAGTCTTACTGAAGACTAGGTCAATTCTCTTTTTCAGAAAATTTTCGAAAAAGAAAGGTAATTTCAAATGAGCAGTTGATGTGAAAAAAACACAGGATTCAATTCATGTAAATCAGAGTCAAACTTTATCTAAGTGATTTACATACATAATTGCATATATCATAATGGAACATATAAATGACCATAGTAAAAATAAAGATAACTATCAATAAATAGCATAAGAATAATAGTTTTTATCATACGATACAATTACTACGGAACGAATTGCTAAAATGCACATATACAATGTCATTGTGAATAGAAATACTAGTTACTAGGGAAAAGGCTCGTTGACAGAAAATCACTTAGATTCTGAAATACATAATAAAACATTTTCGGAAAGTTTGTTTCCTTATATTCCAACTATTTAATTAATTCGTGATTTGTTTGAACAGAAAGTAATTTTAACAGTTGAGATCATAAGTCAATTGAAGCTAGACCACCATGGAAGCAATGGACAACTGTTTTGTCCTATTGTGGGACTCCTCAGCAATGAGCATCCACGATCCCGCCTCAGGAGATTCCAACGCAGGACCTATCAGTCTCGCGCGCGAACGCTTAACCTCTAGACCGACCGGCATCCAATGGTGTTAATGTCTAACGTCAACTAATCCATGAAATTGAGCAACATATCCACCATTTTCTTCAGTGAGTTACTATCTCACAACAGACCCGTTTGAACTGCACTGGTCACTACTTCTCAATAGAACTCCAGAAAATACCTCTGGAAGCCATTCATTAGCGAGCAAACGTTAATTAATTTCAACTGACTCGTGATCTCAACTATTAAAATTACTATAACATCCACAAAGAACCTCTTCAAAAACTAATTTGTTCAAGAAGCCTATCCAATTTGCCCTGTCAACACATTCAAAATAATCTGCAGTCTGTGATAATGTGAATAAACTTTGAGCGCTTTCTACGTTTTCAGATTAACTGATTCACAATGCTGAAAAACAGATCTTGATGTATAACAGACTATTGATGCTTTAGAAAGTGTTTTCACCTGATGTCTCTCAATTATTTGCTGATTATTTGTTTCATATAGCCAATCCTAGACTGCATATTTTCTACAATCGTCACTTGGTAGTTAGTTAGACATATTAAAGGAACAGACTTTCTTGTTACGTGGTGAATTCTTTCTATAATATTGAATCAGAACAAAATTCAGTGTGTATAAATATATTAATCAATTTATATTAACTCAGTGTGGATGGGAATTTCTACTGATATGTCACACTTTTTCAAAAAGGGATATTCGTCGACTAGGCGATCTATATTTTTACTTCGGTTCTTAACGTGAAATAATATTTATGTTTTCAACCCCCCAAATAGGATGTAGGACTGAAGAGTTCTAATAGAAATTGTTGAATCTATTCAATTGTAGATGTCAAAGATAATCCTAATGTTTG